TTGCAAATAGTAAAAAAATATAAATAGAATATCAATGAGCTTAATGGGGTCGCTTACGATTTTTAGGTTTAAAGAGGTGGAAGGGATTTACTAAAAAATAGAACTGAAAGCCATAAGATAGATAGAAGTATGATAGGATCGTAAGAAGTTGTTTTTATTGTAAATTGTAACAAATATGTACCAAAGGCTGTGTTGGGTAATGAAGAAGCAAGTTTAGGGATAATGAGGGGTTTTAAAAAAGGATAAACCAGGTGCGTTAAGACGGTATAACTTGGTCTAAGGACATTATAAGTATTAATATAAAGTAGTTTTAGGAAGTAGTTACTGAGAAATTATTACTGTTAGTATAAAAATAGTATTAAGTTCTGAAAAACTTATGGAGGAGGGATTTTGGCAAAATAGATCAACAATGTTGTGTGAAATAGAAATGAAATTTTGGAACTTGGGAAATGGCATTAAGGGAATATTTAGCTGAATTTGAAAAGGCTTTCTAGAATATTTTCCCGGTTGTGGTTATCAGAAGATTTTTCTCCATGAAGGCTGATAAAGGTTTTGCAGCTTGAGGTAATGATATTTTTGATATTTTTGTTCGAGTAAACTTTCATGCATAGCATTTTATCACATATTTTTTCATTTTAATCATTTTAATCATTTTTAACAGAAAGATTAGCTAAATATTTTCAACTAAATTCTTGATTTTAACACTAATCATTAATCATTAACTATAGAAAAATTTTAAAAATTGAAAATTGACCCAATTAGGAACATTATCATGACACCATTTTTGTCAAGGTTGTTGTTCATAATCTTATCATTAAAAATATGCTATCATGTAAAACAATAGAAAGATAATCTTATGATCATATCACATATCATTTATTTTGAAGAAAGCAGTCAGCAGTTGTATAATCTTTTTGGTTACTAATTTGGTTGGTTGGTGAGTATATTTTTTTCGTTAATTTGGTGTTTCTTTACTTTTAGCCATTCGACTGGTCTCTTCAAAGTGATTTTCAGCTACTTTCAGAATTTTTAAGTCTTATATTTATATTTAATTTATCTGCTTTCGTATCCTTCATGTTTTATTGTTTAATAAATCTTATTGTTGAATAAATTTCTAGGCTAATATTTTATGGAACGCATTTCAATCCCCTTAAATACTATTTTAAAAGTATTTATAAATCCGGTTGGGTTGTCTGATATAAAAATAAAACCCATTTTATCTCCGATGTCCTCTTTTTGCTACGATGTTGGTGACAACTTCTGGACCTTTCATAATTTCTCTGATCGCCTCCGTCATAACTTCGAATTCCTTAGAATCTGTTGTAGAATTCGCACTGTTATAAGGCCTCTTGACAAATTCATCGGTAACAAAACTCTTTAAAGTTATCTTTAATCCATTAGATCGTACTTTATTAAAGAAATACAACGGGTTTTGAGGAAATGGGGTCTTTAATAAACTTTTGAAAACCTCGATTCTCTAACTCACCTTATTCTTTTGAACCAGAGATTAACATATCCTTGAACACTCTGCAGTGGTACTCGCTCTCCCAATGTAAGTCCTTATGGTCAATGGTTTGTAACGGCGAATAATTTTTCGATTCCGACTTTTTCTCGTCAATCTACAAATAGTTTAGGACAATTTGCCAAGTAAAGAAAACCTAATAACCTAAGAAATAATTTATCTTTATATATATTTAATGCAAATTTAATTTATCTTTATATATATATATTATATATTTACGGGAATTTCTTGTTTTGTCTTACTTCCTCTGTTGATGAAAAAGTTAATTTTCTTAATAGCATCATTTTACTTTTTGTGGAGCAATATTCCTTTAAGGAAAAAAAGCGTTAGGTCAATTCTTATTTTTCTAAAATCTCTTTAAAAAAATGTCAAGAAGCTTTATAATAAATACAAATTAACCAAATTGCCAAATGACCTCGCTGCATATAAAGAATGCTTTAAAAGTTTCCATAGTGTCATTCGTAATTATTAGTTTTAGAGAACTTTTTCAAATAAAGAAGAACTTGTAAATGTCAGGAGAGATTCCTTTTGGACTCACATTAAACAAAAACATTTGCATATCCGCGCGAATAAATAATTCTGCAACATATTGATAATGTGATCACCTCTGATATTGATATTGCAGATGTATTTAATCAATATTTTTGTAGTGCATTTCTTGACGATAATACTCATACTTCTTATGTGTTCTTGTTGTAAATCGAATTTGTTGCACTTTTCTCTGCGAGGTCGAAATAATGCTAGTGAATATTTTTGAAGCCTTAAATATAATTAAGTCGTCGATTTCAGCTGGTCCCGATAATATTCCACAAATGTAACGCTCTGAGTCTTTCCCTATTTCTAATTTATTAGGATATGAAGTCTGGCCTTAATCCCAAAATTTGGAAATTGTCTCATATAATTCTATTCATAAAAAAGGAAGCACCTATGATCCTTCTATTTACAAGCCTATTAGGTTAACATGCGTTGGGAAGGTTGATTTGCAACAAGTTGCTTACTTATCTTGATACCAATAATTTCATATCCTCCTATCAGCATGGCTTTTATATAAAAAATTCTACTTCATAAATATTAAATTTTTTCGAAATTGACGATGGAAAAACAGTATCAGTTGGGTACCTAGATTTGGCCAAAGCTTTTGATGCTATTTCTCCCATAGCAAGTGGTTAATCACTCTTAATAGTTATGGCATTACAGGGGCCCTTTATAACTGGGTGTCATATTACATAAAAGATCGTCACCAAGCTGTATATGTTAGCAAGGTTCTTTCTGACACAACACCTGTTAAATCTGGCGTTCCCCAAGGTGTTGTATTTCTTTTTCTATTATATATAAATAATATCACCAATGTGGTACTAAATTCTACTATTTATCTTTATGCTGATGATTGTAAAATTTATTATTCTCATGGTTTTCAGAACAGATAGCCTATCTCTACTGCAAAAGGACTTCAACAGAATAGCCAGCTGGTTATATGACAATTCGATTTTTCTAATCATTTTATTAATGGTAATATAATCAAAAGAATCTCATACATTTCCGATCCTGGAATAATCATGGATGAAAATCTTGATTTCGGCTTCCATTGCAGAGCCATAATAAAGAATTCCTCAAAGATCCTAAATTTCTATCAAAATATACAAAGCGTTCAACCTCTTCTTAACTACAATATTACCTGTTACTTCCCAAGATATCGCAACTGTTATTTCGAACTTTATTATTTTGTAATTTCCTCTTTAAATTGTTGATTTTTGTCATTTTTTTTATCATTATTATTTGTTATTTTATCTGTTGTTATTAATACAAGCACATGGCATTGTCGCTCTGCTTGGTTGGTTTTCAATAAATAAATAAATGGAGAAGGCTGATAAAGTAGAGGAAAAAGAGAAGTACAGACAAAATACCAGCATAACCGAGCGTTTTTGACGGACAGGCTTATTTCTTACTAGAATTTCTTATTTCTCAAGTATTGATACTCAAGTATTGTATTGATGCTCCGAAATGTGAGTGACAGCCATTTTTATAGACGATGCATATATTCAAGTCAACTCGGAAACATCCTTTTAGCCTAGTAACTGATAGCTAGAGAGCTTTTAGAAGAAGAAAAATACAGAGGAACTAAATCGGTAATTATGCAACCTAATTTTCGTGTTTTCGCGTTATCAGATAAAATCACTTACTTTGTTATTTTAAGGGCAAAGATGGGATGGTCAATTGCATTGGCCATCAGAAATTTGATTTTTTGATTTCCTATTAAAGATGATGCTGGCGACCTATGTGTGCTTCTACTGCTAAGCGCCTTCCTCGAAAAAATTGTACTGGAAAGAGGTTAGCTTAGCCACAAATGATAAGCATTAATTTTTTGTTTCTTTTATTTTATGCTTATAAATTTTATGCATATTTATTTGGTATCATTCAGTTTGAAAATTTTAAAAAATTTTTAAAAAATTTTAGACAGTGTAATATAACCATATTTAAATAAAATGAAATAAGATGGTATTTATTGTAATGGTGATAACAGAGGTGAAATTGATAACGATGATGATGATGCCAGTGCTATAATGGTGGTGCTGGTGTTAATGATAATAAAGATTTGTGACAGTTTGTGACAAGTAGAACTTCAGCATTGATGTTTCGAGCAATAGCATACTACTGAGCCATTCCACTCTCGTTTGCTTATCTCCATTAGGCGACAATGCCGTCCAACGAAAATGCGCCAGGCGGATTCGAATTCAAATCTTGATGAATATCAACGATGGAATTTATTTTTAATAGGTCAAATTGTCTTTCTTTCGTGTTTCCGAAATGGACCTCCATCCTGAAAAAAATAATGCGTCGTACCTAGTAGGATTTGAAGGAAATTTTAAGAATTCTAAATAACCCCTCAGCAAATTCAATTAGTCTTATCAGCCGTATGAACTTGGCCATTTGTCTTTGGCTATCAAAGAAAAAAAAACTTATTGCAATTTATTTAATTAATTAATTAAATAATTTAGGCGGAATAGAGCATAAAGCCGTATGCTAGCGTTAATAAGAATCAATATGGCCAAAGCAACGAGGGATATAATTAAATAGAAAAAAATGATAAAAATATTGAGAGTAATATTGTATCCTTTAAAAGGTTATAAGACAAGACCAATGTCGTGTGATAGTTCCAGTTGTTAATACAATTGCAGTATTGAAAAAATTGTACGACAAACATTGGTACTACGAATAGGCTTGGCTCGTATAGGTTCACAACCCATTGGTTTAGTTGAGTCCATCAATTAGTCCATCTGAAATAGTCACCCGAAATTGCACCATCACTTATTCACGTGTTATACAGTATTCCTACCAAAAACATCCAGAAGATACTGAAGTTTTAAGTTTTGAGCTATAAAATTCTTAGAGGAATCTTGAAACGAATCTCTTTGTCGCTCCTGCCGAGTCATTTTTGAACAAATTAAGTCGTAATAAGGTTGGTGCAATTTGGTGTAATATGGACCTTGTAAGTGTTAAGTGTTTTTTTGTTTAAAAGAGGGGCTTTGCTAAATATTTCTTTAAAATATTTTATTATTAATTGCGAAATATCGAATTGGTACTTTACTAAATTTATTATTTAACTTTTTCTCTTTGGCCAAATTCATTGAAATTCTAAAATTTTTATAATAAATTTTTTGAATTTTGACAAAATTTTAGGCGATTTTTATAAATAAAAGTAATTGAACAAATATATAAGTAAATATAAATAAGCAAATAAAAATAAAAAAATTTTATATAAATATAAAATGTATAAATATATTTTTACATAAATAAATATATACATAAATATATAAATAAACATAAATATAAATAATAAATATAAATACAAATTCGAATAAAGCAAGTAAATATTTGAAAAAAATTTTTTTTCAGTATCATAATTTTGATGCGAATATGTTGCAGTTGGATGAAGATGATTTCAAGTTTAGTAGGTCATTTAAAGCGCATTCATCGGATGTGAAAAGTTTAGTAGTTAGCGATTTAGGTTTACTCGTATCTGGTGGACGTGATTCGAACGTTGTGATTACGGATCGATCGTTTGTTTTTTATTGTTTTAAAGATTTTTTTCTCAAAAAAATTTATATATTCGAAATTAAACATTTATCAAAACGATTTTTAAAACGTTTACTCAGCTATTTTAAATTTTTTTCGGCAAAATTAACAAAAAAAAAGTTATTAAAATTATGGAAGCTTTTTTTACTAAAAAAAATTTTTGTGAATATTAATTTAATTAAATTTATTTTAGTGATTGTAAAGAAATCGTGAAATATGCTACAAAAGATATTCAAATGGTGAATGCCGTAGCATTTTATCGATCTCCAACTAGCGGTTGGGTTGTATTTGCGGGAAAAAGAGATGGAACGATAGATCTCTTTGCTAGTGGTAATTTATGTCCTGTAAATACGTATAGCGAGCACGATTTGAATGGTCAGTGGTTCATTATCTTTTCATAACAAATATATATATATATATATTATAAAACAAAAATAATGGAGAAATGTCGACTAACTCTGTGGAAGAATTGAGCAAATAAAATTGTGAATAGAGGATTTTAATGTTAAGATGCATAACTCATTTCGAAGTGTTGTGTATATGAATAGTTTGAAAGAAGACGTACTTTAGCAGTCGAGTGGATTTTTTAAAATATACAGTTTTAATATTTTATTCGTATTTATTTGTATAGATAATAAATCCCGTAGCCATAAATAATTTATAGTTTGTAAATTGCACATCGATCATCTTGACTGCAAGATGTATAGCGCATCCTGGGATAATACAGCAATAATATGGTCTTTGGAGAATTTCAAACATTCTGTTCGACCATCGGTTTGTTTCAATGATAATAGCTACTTGTTAAAAAATAATTGTTGGATGTATTACTATGATTTATGCTTTTGAGGAGAGATTTTTTGTCGAGTTTTTTGCTCGGGCACGAAGATGTTGTTAGAATTTTTTTTAAGCTAAGATCGCAAACTTGTGCGAAAAATTGACTTTCTAGGTTTGTTCAGAGAAAATTTGACTGTTAGTCTCATCTCTACTTTAGTCTCATCTTTTTTGAATCCTAATTTTTCATTTGCAGTGCGAAAAAAAAATTCTGTATATTATTACATTTATTATTATTATTATATTTTTCATTTCTTGGATCTTTATTCATAAAAAATGCGAGAATTACCAAATTATGAAAAAATTTTGTCGAACTATGTATTTAAAAAAACTTATTTCATATACTAAAGCACTAAAGTCTAAAATCATTTAAATTTTTTTCAGCCTTATATTCGTTTTGAAAAAAAGATATAGATTTCATATTCCGTTATATGAATTGTCTATTTCAAATTTCTTTGTAGATTATTCGGCTCTGTGGTCACACAATGTCTGTTTGGGCAGTTATTCCTCTTCCTGGCACCAATATTTGCATAACTGGGTCGGCTGATATGACTATTAAATTATGGAAAGGTGGTAATGTAACGAAGACATTTACTGGTTATTTTTCCTTATCATTTCAACATTTTCATCCATTTTTTTTGTCTAAAAATTCACTTTCTATTATTTGTAATATATTTAGGACATGAAGATGTTGTTAGAGATTTGATTGCTATATCAAGCACTCGATTTCTTTCATGTTCAAACGATTCTACTATACGTTTATGGGATATTAGCTCTGAAATATGTCTTCAGAAATTCCAGTCACATGGTGGAGAATTTATTTACACGTGAGCATGCAGATTATTAAATTTCCCATCCTTATTTACTTAATTTATTTTTTTCCACTGGATTTTTCACTTGAAAACTTTAGAAATGATTTAAATATTAATATTAGTAGTAATCAGAAGAAAGATTATTTGTTTGAAAAATTTCAGAATGATTAAGTTTTCGTTAAAGAATGACTTGTTTTTGGTCAGTGGTGGTGAAGGTGGAATATTGGAATTTTGGAATGTTCAAGCAGATGGTGAGATAAATCATAAACAGTTACTTCAAACACCGGTGCAAAGCATTTGGACCATTGCTTTCACACCGGATGGCGACATAAATATTGGCGCTGAGTACATTTTAAACTGCTTTGCTTTAGATTTTTATTATTTTATTAGTAACAATAAAGTTCACTCCAAGGTCAAATATCGAAGTGGGAAAGAAAGAAAATATTTTATAAAGGTAGAATTAATGGTCTAAAAATAAGTTCAAAAATAGGTGTATTAATAAGTAATAAATAGTAATTGCATATATTTTATACGTTCGAGATTGCATGAATTGGTTGTTTTTCCCTTCTTATTGTTTGTCTAGGCCACTATCTTATTTCTCTTTTATTCTTCATTTCTTTTCTTCCATTCTTGTTTTAGAAAAATCATTATTTTGAAGATTTCTATTAATCTTTTCTCATAGTTTTGTTCTTACAAATTATGGGGTTTATCCACGTACATCGCTGGACATTCACCACACAAATAATTTCCAAATTCTAAGGCTTTTAGCCAACTATCATTAAAGCACATCTGGAAAGTCCAAATCAAAATATGCATGGTATCTGCCCTAGAACTTGACTTTTTGCGACATTTAACGCAGCTATTTCTTCTTTCGTTTTCATGAAATAAAACTTTCTAACATCCTAATTTATGAAAATCGCAATGGGGTTTTCTTTGTCAAATTAAAATTCGTTCTTTAAATTTAGTTATTTTCAATAAAAAAATTTAAGTTGATTGAGTCTCACAGTATGGGCTTTTACTTTTGAAATCGATTCGCCTATTTTTTTTATCTTTGGTTCCTCCAAGCGGTTTTATCCATTCCTTGATTTTTTGTTATATAAGTCGCAAAAATTCTTATTTCTAGCTAATTCCATTCCATTGGTCCCCTTAGCGATTCTCATCCAGCTATCATTCATATCTTCCTTTTGTTGGTATCGTTCTTGATGTCGGATTGTTATATTAATCTATCGATTTCCATTTATGTGTGATTCGTTTTCCACTAATTCCTTATGGTAGTTGGTTGAAATATTATTATTTATTAGTATATTATTAGTATCATTATTTTGACCATCGATGATTGAGATGTTCGACAGGGGTACGTAAATCCATATCTGCATGCACATGAATACGTACTAATATCTCAAACACATGTAGAGATATAAAAACCTATTTATTTCGTTATTTGCGCATAAAATCACTCTTTTTCAAGTGATGGAAATATTTATGTATTCACGAGATGTTCAAAAAGGAAAGCAAATGAAGAGAAACAAAAACAGTTCGATAGTGGAGTGGCAATAAGAAAGGAATTTTTACGAGAACAAGCGCTTGCTCGAGTATGTTCATCTTTTTTCTTTTTTTAATCTATTTCATTGCAAAAATCGATTTAAACGTTGATTTATTAGTTTTCTTCTATCATTCATCAATATTGGCCTCTTTTTTAATTACTATATTTGTTCATAAAAATACGAAAAGGGCATATAGCCATATAGCCAGAATATATATTTTTTATATCCTTTTTTAAATACCTTCTGTGTTTCAATGCATTTTTTTATATTTTATATTTATCAGAATTTTGTTGATGGGTATATATTTGTCTAAATGAAGAGATGTTGTCGCGGCTGAACTCAAATGATTGCGTGGCAACACTTTCATATGTAAAAAAATGAAAACAGTGTTTTTTAATTTTTTATTCTTTTTAATTCCCTTGAAGTTTTTTTTCGCTTTTCTCTTTCTTTCTTTCATTGTGATGAGCTTTTTCTCTGCAATTTCTTGGCAACTAAGAAATCCTGAATTTGAATTTTATTCAAATATTTCAATGTTTTAAATTTTAGGAAAGAAATGTTGTAACAATAAAAGTTGCTTTGGATGATGGCCAACCAAATATGGAATTAAAATATACGAAGGGATCTGATCCAGTAAAAGCTGCTGAAATTTTTATACAGGTCATCTCTCGAATTTTTTATTTTCGATCTTTTTATTTTTATCTTTGCATTCACAAAAGTAAGGTAAACTAATTTTTTCAAGTTCTTTTTCTACTGGAAATGAACAGTAAAAATTTTTTAATTATTCAGGAGAATAGTTTGCCTGTGAGTTATTTGGATGAAATTGTTGAATACATTAAAACAAATATTCCTGAAGCTCGCGCGTTCACAGAACAACAAAGTCATCGACCAAAACCATCGGAACGGATATCCTTGAACGGCAGAGTATATTTTATACTTTTTTTGATGCATTGATAGTGAATTTCAAACAGTCATTCTTCAAATGCGCTTTGTTGAATAAGATGTAATTTTATAAAGCTTTGAATTATGATTCCAAGACTGCAGATTTGATCAGCATTGCCTCTTAATTTTTCTTCTTTTCCATTTCTATGGATTTAATTTGCAATGGATTTAATCTTTTTAATAATCTGATCCTTTCCTTTTTTTTGAATTGCTGCTAATTTTTAATTGCAATATCACTTTTTTTAATCAAATTCTCTCTAGCAATGGGATTACGTGTTGGATGTGACGACTGATGATGGTCGCCAGTTGAAATTGCCTTATAATATTGATGAAGATACTAATTGGGCAGCGCAAAGATTTGTTTTCGAGAATAACCTACCGATTAGCTTCTTATCGGAAGTATGATAAATATTTTCATTGTCGATTTACAATGTTTTACTTTTTTACGTTAGAATAGGAAATTACTTTTGATTGAAATTACGTATTTCTTTTAAGAACTATTTTATTCGGATCATATTTAGGTAGCTGCATTGCTTGAAACACAGGTTCAGTCTTCCTTATCATCCTGCAAAAGTTCTTCCTTTACTGATCCACTTACAGGTTGTTTTATCTTTTGAATTTTCAATTTTTTAAAATATTTCAGGAAAAAATTTCAACAGTTTGATGACTTTCTTGGATTATTTTTCGAGAATTTGTTTGCTAGAAGTTATTTAATAGTTATTATATAGTTATATTATTTCTTGCTTTTTTTTGGTCTGTTTTTCTCTTTTTGTCGATAATTTTTCTTATAAATTATTTTGAATTATTTTCTAATATTCCATTATTTATATTTTGTTTTCTTTCTTTCATTCAGATTTTTTAAATTTTTACCGTGTAAATAAATATTTAAAAAAACAGAATTTTTTTGATCGATCTTTGGAAATTTTTAAATTTTATGCGTTTTTACGTTAAAATAAAAGAAAAAAAATTCAATTTCCATGAGCTGGAGTTATTTGTCAGTGTGTTTCTTCCTTAGGTTTAACATCTAAGTTCCATTGAAGAAAATGATGTTTCGAATTATATTTCTGAGTTTTTTCATCCTTTTAAATTTTTAAATTATTTTAGTGTTTTAATTTTTTAATGTTTTTGTGTTTTATTCAGTCATTTATTTTAGATTTTACCCTAAAATTCTTTCTTTAGAAGGTGGAAAATTTAATTCGATTCCGTTTTCGTTTTTCTTTAAATAAATTATGCCAAGATTATAGGAGAAGGGCGGTACATACCACCAGCGCATTCTATTAATAGCAATGGGAATATCGCTGATCCTTCAACTGATAAGACTTCTACTCTGGATCCATTAACAGGCACTGGAGCTTATACAACCGGAGCAGCATGCAGTTCCGCTTTTGTGCCTACATCGTGCTTGCCCATAGGTATGTTTTATTTTTTACATTGCCATTTTTTATATCAATATTATTAATATTATATATTATATTTTTATATTAATATTTTCATATGATTGATTCGTGAGGCTATAAATTTATATTTACCAATTGTTTACCAAAGAATATATTTGATCGAGTCTTAAATAATATTTCATGAAGTTCGAACAGAAATTAGAGAAAGTAATATTGAAAATTTAATTTAACCAATTTTTTTCGAGAAAAACTTTATTTTAGATAGAAAACGGCCAAGAAGTATTTTAGTTCCATTAAAAAATTTTATTACCTTCGGCTTTGAACAAAAATCGGAAAAAGCCATCGTTAAGTTACGGGAGTACAATAACACCCAATCGACGTATCGATTAACAGATGAACAGGTTTGTACTATTTTTATATAAACAGTAAACCATTTGTTATAAAAAGAAAATTTCAAAATGTTGAAGTCATTTTTTGAATATATTTCACGCATTTTTCATTATGTTTAATGCATTAAAATTTTCAGCTCCACGCACTCGAGGATTTGATGTCAAAATCAGATTGTGTATTCAGTGATATTCATATAGCAGCACTAACTATTGGATTGTTGTGGGATGTTGGTAAGTGCATTTCCTCTATTATATTTTATACCGCTTGTGCCAAAAATCATGTTATCGTGTGGTCAGATGTAATTATCTATAAAAACTCTATAGTTATATCTATTAAACAATAATCAAGCAAGAAAAAAAGTGTTGCGTTTATATTTGTACTAAAAATTCTAAAAACAACGAAATATAAAACGAAATAAGATGGAAAAGCAAATTCTTTAGTAAATATAGAAATACCTGTGGGTTGAAATTAATAACGAACTAACAATAACTAATAACTAATTTTGTGGATAATTTCATTTAATTTTATCGTAAAATTAGCTCAAATAATAAGTACTGGCACTAAACACTGGAATTGGATCCTATTATTTATGACAGTATTTTGATCATATAAATTTTCAGTTGCTTATATTTCAGTTATTTTTCAAAATAACTTTCAAAATGAATGAATGTATTTCCAAATTAGTATATTTATATAACTCAATTTTAGATACAATTCTACCGATATTAGATGTGTTTCGTATTGCTATATTGAATTCAGATATAAATAAATTCTTTTGTTTAATGAAACCTGAAGCGAATTCTATTCGAGGACGCGAAACATTGCTGAAGCTTATGGCATATTTGGTCTGAAAAATGTGCTGAATTTAAGACAAAATTCTGAAATGTTTATTGTTTTTATCAAATTTTTCTTTAGGTTAGTGCAACGACTGATCCAGTGAAAATTTTGGCATGTAGAGCATTAGCGAACAGTGCGGTACACGAGTGGGGACGTGATATGCTCACTCATGATATTATAAATAGTGTTTTGACACTTATTTCCATCATACAGAATGTCAAGGGTAGTAAAAATCTTCAGGTATTGAATTTTTTCATTTTTCTTTGGTTCGATTTAGTCTCAAATGGTTTTTTTTTTTGTTCATTTAAAAAAGCAATATCTTTTTTTATTCAAATATTTATCTAAAGTAAAGCGATTTTATCATTTGTATCATGGATTTTTTCTCAGTTTAATTATACTCAATGCTTAATTATATCAGATTTTTCTGCAAAGTATTTATGAAGAGTACTTCCACTGAGTTATTTAAATGTCGTTTAATCGTTTTTGCTTTAGATAGCGGCTATTTCTGTTATTGCCAATCTTGCACTCATTTTACTACAAGCAACTGAATCTGGACTTACAGAATTGGGCCCAAGAGAAGATGCTCTACGTTCGATCATCCAAGTATACTTTTTTGATCGTTCATTGAAAATCTTATTTATGAGATACTTTATTCATTTATTAATCTAGGTATTTATTAATTTACTTTGTTTATTTATTAATTATTTTATTTATTAATTTATTAATGTCTAGAATATTAAGCGCAAAAGCCGGACTCTTGTATAAGGATATAAAATTTTATAAGATTATAATTATAATTTATTAATTGTATAAGGATATAAAATAATGAATAGAAGAGGAAACTTAAAAGAAATGCGTTATAATGAGGTTATATTATTCGGAAAATGGATTTACGACATATTTTTCGTAAATATAATATAGATACTATAAATTCTAAATATTGATAATTCTGTTCTTAGTGTTCTTAATGGGCATTTTCTTACAGAAGTTAATGGTATTTAGTGTTATGATAATAAATGATATAAAAGTAAAGAAACGCTTTGATACTACAAATTACCATGTCTTCAATCTATTATCTCTAGCGTTCATTAAATTTAATGAGAGATTACGTTAGAACATCCGAGATGAACCAAATAATATTTTGTAAATCCAATCCATGTTTAATTCTCCTTGTCCTTATTGAATCCAAATTATACAACTAAATTTTCGTAAGATTTGCTTTTTAACTTTCATTGTCCAACAGGGTAATCTGGATTTAAACATAGAAAATTAAATTGATTAAATCTTGAATGGATTGCTCTAACGGATAACTTGAGGATGTGCTTGAGGATAGTTCTTATACTTATTAATGAAGGAAGTTAAGTAAAAATTGTATGTAAGCACTGTAAAATTGTATGAAATTTTACATGATTTTATTGCTAGATATAGTGACTTTATTATACCGTCGAGATTAAAGTTGAGGTTCAGTCGTTAAACCAAGATAACTGGAATATTATCGAAAAGATTTAGTTTAGGGTCGGATAATTTTTAATTAAAATGCCGAATTCTATATTTTTGAATAGGCAATGTAATCATTCAACCATATGATTTTGCTAGGGAGCTAATAAGATTATTCTTTAAAGTAAATTATCCTATCTATCTTATATAAAATATACTTTATAGTAAAGATAACTATTGTAATTGTGAATTATGTGGTGCATAAATAATGCCATTAATATACGTTTTAATAATAGTTGGATTTAGATTTTAATTTTATCCATCATTGTTTTTTGGCTTGCAGGGTATAGAAAAAATCGAAGGCTATGGACATATATGTGAAACAGCTCAAATACGTTTATTGCAAGCAGTCGTCACGCTAATGTGGGGTGATACAACTGTTATAAAGGTATAGATCTTTCTTTTTATTTAGTGCCAAAAAAATCAGAAAGCCAAAACGACCATGGCGATTTCAAAAGCAGAATCAAATCAATCAAATCAGATAAATCAAAAGCAGAACACTGTTACTGAACCTTCAGTAATTTCATCATTTTATTTCGCAGTGCAGTAATTTGTGTAATTTTCAATCGAATAAACCTTTAAGCTGGCGAAATCACGCGGTTTAAATGTGATTGTCGAACGAATCAAGGATTCGATTGCGGATGAATCAGGCAAAGAAATCTCTCGTGATATTATTGAAATGCTGCACACAGTTTGAATATTCTTGTTATTTGCAAATTTAAAAGATTTAAAGGCTTTAAAAGGCTCGTAAAATAAACTTGAAGTGCGATACGAAATAAAATTTTTAAAATTGTTTTAAAAGTTTAGGATTTTATTGTTTTTAACGTAAAATTAATTATTAATTATAAACTATATTTATTGATTTATAAACTATAATGAACTATAATTAATTATAATATATATATTTAAAATAACTATTACTCTATTTACTCTAGTTTTTATGATGCCATGCAGATATTATATGAGATATTTTTATAATTATTGATTAGAAGTATTTTTTTTACCAATCATTCATTTATCCTTTTTTTTTATGTAAAGAATTTGTGTATTAATTTTCTTAAATTATTGTTTAATTCTTTATATTCGATTATAACTGATTTTTTTACATATCAGCGATATAATTTTTGGCATACATTTTATGGTTTATGATTTTTCAAATGATTTTATGATTTATGATTTTTCAAATAAGTTTTAAATGCAATAAAAAAATTTTTTTTTTATGAATGAGGCAGTGATTTTGGATTTGATATGGTTATGATGCCATGCAGATATTATATACAATAACTTGGCAACAAGTGAAAATTTATTATTTCGTTTAGCATTTAGACGATGAAAATAGAAAAAATGAATTATTTCTTTTTTGAACTTATGGTATTATTGGAAATCGTTTTTTTTTTTTTTTAGAGTCTTCACCATTATTGGTTAGACTCGTTCCGCTGACTTGTCGTACTAGACAAATGTAGTATGGAGTCTCTTAGGGTAGATAGAATGAAAGGAAAGTCGTCAATATCAGCTAGATTTTTTGGATAGATTTAGTCTTGTGAAGAATATAACATCAGCGCGTTTCGAATTGAGCCATTCTGCTATTTGAAATTTAAAGTTTAATGAAGAAAACTAATAAAATCTAATCGTTTCGAAGTTCTATGATGTGTCTTATTTTATGCATTAGTGTTGCTTGTATTATTATTTTTATTATTACTGATTTCCTATATTAAGAATTTTTTCACTGAAAAATAGATCGATGAAAAAAGATAGGCGAATAAGCCTTCAGTAATAGCACATTCCTAGGCTCAAAATCAGCGGAAGCTTATCAGCGGGAGACTCGAAATATCAAATGTCGTCGTTGATATTGAATTCGTCATCTTTTAAATTTTAGATTTTGGTACGGGTGACGATAAATGGAGGAAAGGGAAATAAATTCAATTGATGAGGAAAATATCCAGGTTAATATTTTGTCAATTCTTTCGCGGAAATTTGTCAAGTGATATCCATGAAATTGAAAATTTAGTCTTTCAATTTATTCCTTCTATTTTTTTGCCATTTATTCTTTATATATTTTTGTTTTTTTTTTCTTTTTTGCTAGCGTAGACCATTTCTCCTTTGGTGAATTCCTCTTGCTGTGCATACATTATCGTCAAAGAGTCGCTTTCAATTCAATTAATAAGCATTGCACTCGATTTGAAACGACAATCAACGATGCACCACGCGGTTTTGCGGTTCATGATCGTCACCATTATCAATTACTTTCGGATTCACCTATTATTGGCAACAATAATTCATTTTGGCGTTTAGTCCAGAGACTTTATAGACCTCACACTTTGCAGTCGAATCTTTTACAGTGATTTAGACTTATCATTAATTTCTTAGATTCTAGCCGTATTAACATTGTAATATTCAATTGAAGAATTTATTTTAGCTCGCCGAAAAATATTTAAATATTCTGAATTCAATAAATCAGACAACACCGTTAAATACGAATCGAGTACGGAATGTGTTAAAAATTTTACGAGAACGAGAACTTGGTTTCTGTCATCCATTTTCATTCGAATATCACTGCATACGAGCACTTATTTTCAGCGTTAGAAGATTTTTATACTTTACATTTTTATACTTTATACTTTTATACTTTTTTATAATTTTTCGCTTTCAATTCAATTAACAAGCATTGCACTTGATTTGAAACGATAATTAACCGTACACTACGCGTTTTTACTTTAAATACCGAAACTCGATTAATATTAATTTTATTTTTTTGTGGCCTGAAGTTCATAATTTAAATTCAATTGTTTGTTATCTTTTGGTCAGTTTTATTTTTTATTTAATAATTTATATAATTAATAATATATTTAATAATATAATTTATAATTATATGATTTTATTTTTATTTTCTTGATAACATCGATTTTGATTATTTGATCAGTCATTTAATGTCATTAGTTTCATTTGAAATAAAAAAAAAATTCAATTAAATAAATATTTAATTTTTTAAAATTCCTTAATCACTATAAATTTTTTCGTAGAATAACCGCAAATTTGAATATTGTGAAACTTACGAATCGAATGGTAAAATTCTAATAGAAAAGTTAGTTTATTTTATATTATAATAATAATAGCATCAATGAGCTGTAATTTAATAAATAATTAGTTTCAGTCTGTGCATGTTTTATCTCTGAAAAGGCGACCTATAAATTAAAAATTTAAATTATGGTACTCGATATAGTCTCTTAACATCTTTCAAACTCCTCTTTATACTCTATCCCTTTAACACTCTCAACTTTTTATTATTCTCTTAGATCTTGTGATATACCATTTTCTCGAACTAAATATAATATTTATATTTATACATGTATATTTTATAATGTATACTTATATATATAATGTATACTTTTTTTAACATTTCAAATTTTATTTTTATAGTTTTATATTTTTTTTTCAGTGATATTTTAGTTGGTTATCCAGCTGGATGGCTATTTGATATCCATACTGGCAGGCGATTAATGAATATGCATAATGGTTTTTTGAAACCAAGAGAAAATGTAATCAGCAGTCTACTGGTAGAGATGGCTGTAAACGTGGTAGGTTAAAAATAGAGAAATATAATTTGGATAATGAGGAAAAAAATTATAAATTAAATATTAAATAAATTAAATATTAATTATTGGAAATATTTCAGCATAATTTTGTCTTCGTATGTATGATTTTTATAGATTCCTTCGTCCAGCTGCCCAGCACCTTTCTGGCTAATAATTTTGACGAATGCAAGGCGTATTTTAATTATTAACCACTTAAAAAACGAAATTATTGCCCATTTTCAATTACCTAATTATTTGAAATTCAGGTATATTTTATACGATTTGACGAAATTATTCATTAAAAGTTGGCGTACCACACTTTGAGATATATAGGTTCCCCAACAGCTTTGCGGGTTTACGTTTGTTCCCAAGTTGCCAAAAGATGGGAATCATGCATATTATTAGGTTTTAACTTTATTAATCCGCAGAATCACTTAATTGACCATCTTTATCACTTTAGCTTATCCTTTACATTTACGCATGATTAATGCAATTTTTTTTACTCGTTTTATTCACCATTCAATCTAATTTTAGTGTATTTAGATCGATTCTTTCTAACGAACTTGGTCATTCTTTCTGTGCCTATGGCGAGTTGACTTCATCAGTCTGTTTTTTCTTAATTTTTTCTTAATTTTCTTGACTCATTATTATTTTACGTTTATTTTTTTATTTATGGAAATAAGCAGCTCAATTTTTTTCCTTTTTTTTGTCTTTCTCTTTTTTTTAAAATTTCTTATTTATTAATTTGTATTTTTTATAGCCTGGAAGATCTGCTTGTAAAACATATTGCGTATCTTTATTCGAGATTTATCCGTTGAAATACTGTGGCTCATATATTTTCAGTCCAATTGTATATTTTTTACCAGAATCAGTTATTTTTATTGCTAAATTTTGCAAAAATTCTCATAAGCTGCTTACAGTCAATTTTTTCTTTTTATGCTAAATAAATATTAAAAATATTTATTTAATTCCATAATAATTTATTAGAGGTATAAACCTTTATTCTAAATTTTATGCACTTTTTAGGTTTTCAAATCGCTGCAAAGAGTTATTTTCATAACTGAGTTGGTTTTATTGTTTATAGAGAAGCCTGCAAGTCTTCTCATTTTTCGTCAAACCGATATAATTAGCAGTGTAAATCTCTTTCATTTTATTTACATTTAAAGTAATTCTATCAGTGGTTATGTAATTTGAGTTTCCTCTTAAAACCGAAATTTTAGAGCAGAAGTAGTTTACGAAATGAAGTATGGTACGACCAGGATTGCTATGTTGTGGATAGCATACCTCCACCTTTAATTGAAATTCCAGGTAAGAGGTTTTTTAAGTTCTAAAATTATTTAAAATTAATTTTTTGTCTTTTTCACTCTAAAAGTAAATTTTCTTCATCACATTTCACCAAGGATAAATCATTTCAAATAAATTTAAGTGGATTTGAGTATCCATGTTTGCTGTGTGACTATATATTTGATAGCAAGAGAAATTTATTAGAATTTTGGTCAGATCACGTCCCATTTGTATTCTGCGATAATTTTTGTGTTTTTGAGATGAAAATAATTAGATGTATAAAAAATAAAAAAATTTAGAAGATAAAAAAAAGTCTCTTTGTTTCGAGTTTTATGTATTTCCTTGATATTTGGATTACGTCTTATTATTACAACCATAATCGTTCTCTGAGAAATGAGTAAAGAATGATTTGATAGTTGATAGTTGATTAAAATACTTTCTGTGCAGTAATTTTTGATTATCATTTTTTCAGGTAAGTGGTTGTCATACGAATTCGGATGTCAACCCTATCATTTACTTCTCACTCCATCAAATAATAAGGGATCATATATATTAAAGGATTTCGTTAACAATACTACGGTACTTTTATTTGATTGTTCTAAATTTTATAAATTTTATTTTAAAAATATTTATTTTATTTGAATGTGAAATTGAAAAATTTCGTATAATTAATTATAATATAAATTTTAGCCTGAAATATCGTTTAGTTTGAAGATATCTGAAAATACATCTGTAAATGTAGAATGTGATGGATTAATGCTCTTTGATGAGGATAGTTTAATTCGTATCAGCGCTACAGATATTACTTGCTATTGCGTGAGTAGGTTTGTAATATTTTTGATTCTGGTTCTTTAATAAATTTTAAATTCTTGAGGAAAAAAGTTTTCTGGCATTGTTCAAACGGTTTTATAACGGCAAAACTTTTAATACAATTTCAATCATTTCAATATGAATATTAGAATTGATCAAAAGCGATTTTAGGGTTAATGGCAATGGAGTAAAATGCGTAAAAGCTTGGTCAAAAAAATTTTGGCCAGATTTTTTTGATAAAATCTCGCAGCAGTAAGCTTTTTTTTATTTTTATTTTATTTATATTATTTTATAAAATTTTTTGTTTACAAAGACTTTTTGTTAAAAGTTACTAACGTTTTTTCAAAAATTTATTATGCAAAAATTTAGAAATAAAGATATTAGTTAATATCCACTCGGACTTTCTTATTATTTATTTGCTCCTGTCAAATAACATGATTGGATGTAAATGATTATTATGCAAAAAATCAGGACTTGACATAATTTTCGCCGCTATTGGAATAGATTATTATAGGTAGATTATTAAATATTATTATTGGATATAGAACTCGGTTAACTTTATTAATTTCGTAAGCCTTGGATATATAAATTTCTGAAACCAAGAATATCACTTCAAATCCAAATTAGTTGTCAGCACCCTTCCAATATACTTTAATGTAAGATTCGTTATTTCACAAATCATCGCATTATAACTCTGAAACCTTACCATATTTTTAATTTTTCGGCTTTTTTCAGAGGCTATACGACTCGTTCGGGTCGGTTAATCAGATCTCTCCATTCTGTATTTCCTCTGTTTTGGGTGCGTTATCATTTATATAATTTTTTGATTTAATTTTTTATAATTGTGCTATTAGAAGGGTAGAATGGTTCAGATGATTCTATTCCCCAGAGAAGTAAACCTGTCCAAAAATTTGAGCGATGATGGTACTTTTGTTGCTAAGGGACTTTCTAGTATTTATTTATCCAGTGCGATAAACCATTGGAGCGAGTCTAACCAGTAATGGTGAGAGCTCTTTAAAAAAAAAAAAGTTGTGGTTGTTGTGAAGATTTCAAGCATAAGTGTATTTTAGGTTTTTTTTTTTCAAAATTTTTAAACATTTCTTTCAGTTTTAGTGTATCAAGGAAGCTTTCATTGATGAAACTTTGCATGTTTTATTTGCTATTGTCGAATGCTCTGTGAATGCGCTTACAATGTAGGTTTTTGGAATGTTGATTTCTTCTTACATTCTCTTTTATCACTAGTAATTATTAATTTTTTGATTTTTATTTTTTTTTCTTGGTTCACAAAAAGTCATTTTTGAATGGAGATGCCTATGGGTCTTCAGTAAAAGTCAGCTTGAAAATATTGAGAGGAGAGAAAATGAAACCAAGGAGCCGGTAGGATTCGATTGCCTACTCTAGCGCTCCGGATTCATTTAAAAATGAAAAAACAGTCGACCTTACTTAATGTACTTTTTTGACGCAAAGTAATTTTCAAAATACAATAAATGTTTTATTTGTTTGATTATAAGATGTTTTTTCACGTAAGGGGTGTGTTTCCTGGAATTTTTTTCAGATGTTACGATTATCTGAATAAAAAAGGAGAAAATTCTGGCAGAAACTGTAATTATGAGATGTGCTTATTTGTAGTTATGATGGATTCAAACAATGGTCATATTATCAGAGTTGTTGCAGTGGAAAATGAAGAAGTTGATGTAAGTTGATGTTGATTTGAGATTCTTGGTTTTTTGATTTTTTTCCGTGATAAATCCAGAACATGAAAAATTTGTAAAAAGTTGATCGGTTTTCCATTGGCTAGTTTGACCATATTTTTATCATATTTTGTCATTTCATCTCAGATTACATCTCAGATCGTTTCACGTTTCATGATAATAGAATGCGCTATTGACAAATTAATATTTTAGAAAATTGTGCACCAATCATTCTGTGGAATGAATGGAACGTTGTTTTTCTTCGGCTACGCGAATAGTGCTAATTCATTTGTGGAGATTCAACGATTACAAGAAATTGGAATACGTGATTGGGAATGCAAACAAGGCGAAGTAGTTTTTTTTTTTTTTCATCATAAATTAAGTATTTCCTCTGTCTGACTCATAGGTTTCCAACCCTTCTCGGCTAATTTTGGTATCTTTTTCTGTGTTTGTTTTATTCATCGCCCTTTCTCCTGGTTTTTAATAAAATTAAATTAAATCAACTCCATTGTTGAAAATTCTGGGTTTAATGTTAGTTGCATATAACTGAAATAGAAAAATAATCAAAAATGTCCAAAAGTCTATCAATATGAGCATTGTTTCTGATTTTAATTTAAATATACATTGTAAAGACCAGTGTAAGCGATCATTGAGATTTCTTGCAACTACTATGTTGTCGATAAATCAAAAAATGCACAACGAGTGCATCTGGCACCCACTTTTTGAAATTTGGCATGATAATATTCCGCGAAATTTTCTTTTTTTTTAAAAATATCTTACAAGAAATATCGATTCTCCTTTGGTATCAGTCATTAATTTTTAGGACATAAAAAATGTTCATTTGGCAGGTTTTCTCATTTTATAAATCGATTACATGCTAAAAACAGCCATTAGTAAGTAAAATATAGATTCATTAAGCTATATTAAAAATTGGTTTCTCAAAAACTCATAATAAATTTTTACGTTGACGGTCATTTCGCCAATTCGTCCTTTTATTATTTATATATATTATTTTTATAATTATTATATATTATTTTTTTTCAAAGGGATTTGAGGAAAATTAGAAAAAAAAGAGGAAAATTTCTTAAAAACTCACATGTTTGCATTAAAAAATATGCATGACTTCACTAATAGAAGGGAAACAATTTTTTGTGGTTTTCGTGATCTAGATACCTAAGATAATCGACATTCCAAGCAAGAATACCCACTTATTTTGTGATAATCAGTTCTGTAATCTTTATATTAGTATAATGTTCTTCGTAGTTTTTCTCTGGTCAGAGAACCTCAGTTTAAAAACTCTTGACTTATTCAATAGTTTCGCCGGAAATTCTTATTTATAGTTTTTACAATCATATTTGTCTTCAGTTCACTTCAGTTCAACAGAATAATTTATTTTATGTAAAAGTCAAATTAATCATTGAATCAAATCAAAATCATTGAGTCATTCCATTATTATTTAACGTTATTAAAAAGATTATAATTATTTCTTTTTGTGTTGAAGTTCTGAGAATATTTATTGCAATTTGGATTTGGAAATAGGTTAATAGATTATTTTTGGAATTCGAACAGTTAGAAATCTTTTCATTATTCATTTGGGAGGGGGAAGGGGTCTGTGAGGAGGGGACAGTATTGCCCACGTTGGGAAACTCTTGCTTAACTCTTGCAATTTTACTCCAGTGAAAACCTCAATAATTAGCAATTTGCGGTTGCATTTCTAGAGTTTTCTCTTTTTCTTCTTCTTAACTGCAGATTTTTTCTCATTTTCTTTACTTCGATACTTTAAGTTTCGTTTTTTTATTTTGCAATTTATTTAATTTTAGAAAAAAATTCCACGAAATAGCAGATTTATGGGGCGACGACCAAATACGTCTCGTTTATCAAGTGAAACGATGCAGCATTTTCGTAGTTCAAGAATTAATCATCAGCTTGGCGGTAATTCCTAATTTTATTTGCCACCTCCTTTATTCATTTTAAATTATCTAATTAATTTCGAAATTTCGAATATAAAAAAAAATTTGTATTCAAATTTTTTAAGATTCAAAAGATATAAAAATTTGATTTTTCATGATCGAATTAAAATTTTTTAAGTTATTTTATTTTGCCTTTCTTTTTTAGGAACTCCTTTCTTCTATTATATCAATCATTATTCTGAACAAAAGATTAGAGAAAATTCTCGACAAATATCAGCAGAAATTCAGCAAAACACGACTCATTCTACAAGAACGTTTAGAAGACGGCGAATTATGTCAGCAGACCAATCGGATCCAGATTATTTGCCATGAAACGCTCGTTTCCATAGAATTGGCTTCAATTTCATTCTAAATTGATCTCTTTATTCTCTGCCAGAAAGTTTTTTCAGTTTTTTTTAAAATTCTATAAAATTTATTCCCAAGTGTTTCCCGAGGAGATATTTCATAAATTATGTGCAATATGATTAACTAACCGCGAGCCATTATTCCGAATTGTTGCAGCCTTTGTTTCTTATTCCAATGTAAATTCCAGGAAATATATGATCATTTTAATTTCAAAAAAAATTATCGTCCAAAATTGTAAATAAAAGTAAAAATTTGATGATGCAGATGAATGTATAGAATGCATAATAAAAAAAATAAAAGCAGATCGGGTATATTGTACGAGGTAAAATAATTCAAATATTATATTCCTTTATAGTTAAAAAATCACTAGCGATTTAATTTGTAATATAACTTTTCCTATATTAAATTAATTTTAATTTGGTAAGAAATAAAATTAAATACAAACGGCAAATAGAAAAAATATTCAATCGATCAACTAATTTCAGTCCCAACTAATTTTTTCTTGCTTTTTCCCACATTTAACCGCTTTCTTTATTTCATCTGTTTTAATATCATCGACTGGAAGAAAACGACGAAAGCTTGGCCTTTCTGATAAAATTCGATCAAAATTGCAATTCTTTGTGCGACAACAGCAACGATCACCGCCATGAAATGTTCTAAAATTTTTTCAATTTTTTATTACTGATATTCTATCAGTAATAATAATGTATATTATAATAATATCAGTAATATAATATTTACTTATAATATTTGTTCAATAATTAAAATAAATTGGTTTAATAAAATTTTAAAAAAAATATCGTCAAAAATAGAAGAATATTACTTTAAAAAAAAAAGATTTTAGAAATAGCTATAAAATAGCTATGCTATTTTTGCCTATTTTCACTTTTCGTTTGCGAAAATATTCCGTATACTTTAAGATGGAATTTGCGGTATGGAATAAAATAATATCGTTGGTTTAACTAAAGTCAAAAATCCGTCTGTTGACTTGTCTTTAAAAATCAGGATGTTGCCGAGGATCCGCTCGTGGAGTGTCTCTCAAAGGACGCAATAGGGGTGATATCCCGATGCCAGACGAGAAATGATAAGTGTCGAATGATAAGAGAATAAGGTGGAAATTCGAATTTTTTTTTTCGAAGTTATATCCAATTAAAGGTAAGTATTTTACGCTTGACAGCCATATTCAACTGTATAATCGCTTTCATGGATGCAAGCAGCAAAATCATCACATTGTCCATTAAACCACGTTTGCACTTCTAGCCGATAGATCTAAAAAAAGCGCGAAATTTATATTCATAAAATTGAATTATTGAAGAAAAATCAGAATGCACTAGAATTAATTCACATAATCATTATTGATTTGATAAGAACTGATAAGTTTTTGATTAAAGAAAAAGAAAAAATTACTTCGAGAAAGCAGTGACTTGTTTTTTGCAGACATTTTACTTCTCTTAAATTTTCTACCATTCTGAATGTTCCATTTAATAAAAATTCCCCAAAAAATCTGCAAATTTTCAAATTATCATTTCAATGAAATTTCAGAGATTTCATTCAGAAATTTATTTGTTTCTTCTTTGTCGGTTTTACGCTGGTAATCATATTTGGTTCCTGGAAAGAATCACCTTCAATAGACAAAATCAGAAACCAGTGTTATCAATCGGTTGGCTTCGGTTTGGCTCTTTATCAAGATAAGAACCCTTCATGAAGAAATCATTTGGACATATAAATTTATAGAAAGAATTCTCATTCATTTATCCGATATATGAAATTTTCGAAATGCTTAACCCATATTAACCACTAATACAGAAATTCTCGAAGAATGAAGAAAAAAACAAACGAATAGCAATTCAGTGAATATGATAAGTCGAAAAGTTCCACTAACAACAGATATGATAAATAATTCAACCGCATTTCTCGAAAAAAAAAATTATAAATGAAAAAATTTTCCATTTCTTAAACCTTTAGAACTGTAAAAAGTTAATAATTTTTCTTCAAAATGAATTATTTTTGCTTCGGATGGTTCCACTCGTTTATTGCTAGGCCGAGAGGTGAGATTTGATTTTCAATATATATTATGTAATATATATTTACTACTTAATAATTATTTCATTTATAATTTATCATTATTAAATAATTATTATCAGAATTATCAGAATTAAATCACTACTTATTTATTTATTGTCATTTAAAAAACTATTATTAAAATTATTTTAATATTAAATTAATATTGAATATTTATATTTAATATTAAATATGGTGAATGAAAATAATCCGCCAGAATTTATTGCGATATAGTCAGATATGCGATTTTCATTGTATATTTGAATTATTCGACCGGCTCGGCAACTTTCTTACATTTTGTGGATTATTGAAATGAAGTTGTCCCTTATTTCAAAAATGCATGGATATCATTTTTATATTTTTAAAGCCATTTTCTTGCCTCAATCTGCATGAAAAAAAAGTGAAAGAAGATTTTTTGCCTTCTTCCATGTTTTCTAAACGTTCTTCTTCTGTTCTAAAATATCAATTTTTTTTCTTTTTTTAAATTTATCACTCTCATTTTCACAGTTTTTTATTTTTTCTTTGGTTCATCAATAAATTAATTTTATGGCTTCTGTTATGCGACTTTTTCATAAATTTAATTATAACGAAATATTAATACTAACGAGATTTTATGGATGAAGACAATCGTCTATTCATAAGTTCTTTTTATATTTCTTATTTTTACAACGATTGCCATAAAACATTAATAAATAAATTATTGATATAAATAAATAAATAAAAATTATTAATTAATAGAGTGGGATTTATTTCTGTGAAAATTTATTATTATTCGTCTATATTTCACTGATTGATAAATTATTTTATAATTATTAGACTAGTTGTTTTTTTTTTCACAATTCAAAATTTTCTATTTTTCTTTTATTTCTTTTGAAAGATTTTAAAGATTTTTTTAAAAAAAAACGAAAAGTTTTTCAAATGGAATTCCTTAAAAAATTTTCTATATGAAATATTTCGGATAAAATCATTTGGCAGTTAAAATTTTTTTAAAAATTTTAAGTTTTATGAGAATAAAAAAAATGCAAAAAATGCCTGAAAGAATAATTTTCAACTGAGAAGGATATAGGCGTTTTTTTTGCATGAATATCGCATGAAATCCGTCTAATATTCAAGGAAACTTTATTATTAAAATAATAAATTTCATTCTCCATTCATCGGATTAATAAAAAATAGGATCATGAAAATGAATAAATTTTTTAACAATTTTGTTAATTCAGTTTATTTTATTAAATTCAAATTGTAATTGCAGAAATTGAATCGTTCGCTACGTTTATTTCTTTGCTTACGAATTTTTATTAAAATGAAATGAAAAATTTGTATGATTTAAAAAAATAATAATAATTTTTAATTTTAATTTTAATTTTTAAAAAAATTTTGAATGTTAAAAACATTTACATTTCTATGCGTTCAGTTCTCACCTTATCATTTCTCTGATTTTATCTGATACGATAAAATAATTTTTTAATTCGGCGATGAGCATAGGAAGTGGAAAAAAAAAGAAAGAAGATTAGATAGGTCTAAAAAAGGAAGTAGAATGGTAGAAGGAAGGAGCAAAAAGAAGGGGAATGTAAAAAATGAAAGAATATTTATAAGAAAAGAAATTTAACTGCATTAGAAATTATATTAACAATAAATGAGAAATATTTTATCTAATCAATCCTATCAAATTTATTAGTAATATAACGATAAAATATATAAAAAAGTATGAAAATGAAAAAGTGAAAAATAAGAAAAAATTGTGAAAAAATGTAGATTATTGAAACATGCAGCAATGATTGGTGGTCATGAACCAGGTGATCCTTATTTTTTTTTGTTTCGTTACAGATATATGCCTTTGAGCACTGATATCTAAGATACATTTATGGGTCGATCGATCGGATAAAACATCATATGATCACATCCATCATCGTTCAAAACCACTTCCATTAATAATGTTATAATAGAGCGTCGCCTTCGATGGTTAGGGCACGTTCTCCATCGTCCACCACAGGAGTTGACATATATTTCGTTATTTTCTAAGCCGTGGTTGGCGTCAAAAGCGAGGTGAGCCAATCAAGACCTGGACTGATACGGTCAGAAAAGATTTTGAAGGTATAAGTGGACCAGTAATATATGGACTTAGACGATGGAAAAAGGAATGGCTTATATACTACTAGCGATGGCTTGGCGAACCGAGCAGCTTGGAGATGTCTTACTCTAGAGGTAATGGAGCCAGCATAACCAGTAATGGTGAGTGCTCTTAGAGGAAGAAGAATTCTAGATATATAAGTCATTATATATATATATATATATATATATACAGATGCTGATGAAAGTTCATTCCATTTTACAAATCTTATCGCTGTAAAGTTAGCCAGTAAAACTGGAAGCGGAAGAATTTTTGTCCATATCTGTCTTAGTTCCATTTTACTTATCAAGAAAAGAAATTCCCATACATCCTCGCTGAAATCCCGTCTGTATTGAACTCATACAAAACCTAATCAGTCATATTTTTCGTCCACAAGAATTTATACCAAATCAAACCAACCATACAAACTTAGTTCAAACTTAGTTTCAAACTTAGTTTTTGAAATGAGAATGAATAATAGAATTATTATTAATCAAAAAATTTAAAAGATTATGGATGAATTAATTAATACTAAATTTAATAATGCAAAAAATTTAATAATGCAAAAAGCAATTGTGTAAGGATTGATTGAATTGAATTAGAAGGATTGTGGATTGATGCTCGCCTATCACATTTTATAGATAATGGAGTACCATAACGCGGATCTGTGCTAACTGACTGAAGGTTTGAGGTTTTTCTGTTTTGTCCAATTTTTCTATGAACAAAAAAATTGGTCTTGAGAATCGTCTGCCACATGTTGTGTTGCAGTAGTGCGATAGAATTTCTCAGTGGATTGTTGCTCAGTTGCGAGCGCCGATGCTTAAGTTCTCCGCAGGAGTAAACCTGTAGAAAAATCCGCGTGATGCTGGCGACTCATCTGTATTTCTATCACCAAAGGACTTCCTGGCATATGACATATTTGTTCAATGCGATAAGCCAGTGGAACGAGTTTAACCAGTAAAGGTGAGAACTCTTTTAAAAAAAACATATTTTTTTTTAATCCGCTTAAATTAGATTTTATGGCGTTATTGATAAAATAATTATAGTTCGTTCTTTTCTAACGAGGCTATCGCCATTAAAAAATATTTCCATTAATCTTAGAGATGCGATTTATAATTGATTTGCATTGTCGATGAAATTAATTAGATTTTTTCTTTCCTTTAAGGACCCACATGATTTTGAGATTTTGAGATTGAATTAAATTACTGGAAGTTCCTTAATAATATTTGCTCTGACGACGTTCGAGAGCCAGGGGGAAAGCTAAGATTTTTACTATGGTTTTCATCTAAATATGTTAAGGCCTTGAGGGATTGTTGTTGATTTTTTCTATTTCAATCACTAAAATTCTCAAATTTTCTATAGTTTCTGATCAAGGGAAAATCGCACGAAAGTCACTTTTTGTTATGACTATTCTTTTCTCATAGATTCCATCTTGTCGCCATACTTTAGGGTTTTTTTCTCATAGATTCCATCTTGTCGCCATACTTTAGGGTTCTTTTCTCATAGATTCCGTCTTGTCGCCATACTTTAGGGTTTTTTTCTCATAGATTCCGTCTTGTCGCCATACTTTAGGGTTCTTTTCTCATAGATTCCGTCTTGTCGCCATACTTTAGGGTTTTTTTCTCATAGATTCCGTCTTGTCACCATACTTTAAGGATTATAAGATATTTGTGATCCGACGGACCGAGTATCAAAGCAATCCAAATAATATTTGAAAAATTAGCGAAGATCTAATAGATGAAGCTTCATGAGTCAAGAGCAATCAATGAATTGATAATTTCGATACCCTTCATTGCAAAAACAAAAATTATTCTACTTTTTATATTTTTTAAAATTTAATTGGCGAATAAATTATTTTTTAATTTGTTTGCTTGAAAATTTTCGAAGATTTTTTTAGCATATGGCAGTTTCTTTTTCTTTTAAATGCTCTCACCTCACACTGGTAAGGCTGCCTCCACTGGCTATATTTCATTTCCAAGCCGATAGTAATAAAAATCACTCATTTTTCCATCGTCTAAGTCCATATATTGCCGTTCCACGTATACGTTCAAAATTTTTTCTTATCGTATCAGTCCAGCTCTTGATTGGTCCACCTTGTTCTTGACTCCATCACACGGTTTAACAAGTACCGAAATATGACAATACGTCAACACTCTTGTAGTGGGTGTCTTAACCAGCGAAAGCTGGTCAAGGCTCTGCGATTGTACTGTTAATTAATGCAAATTAATATTTTGTTAATATTTCTGGTCAGAAACGGCATTTTGATTCATAAGAATTTCATTTCATGGTTATTATTATG